GAGCGAGCAGGCCTCGGCGGCCGCGCCTGGCCGGGGCTCGCGCCGTGCCTCGGTCCCGGCTCCTCAGGGTCGCCAGAGGCTGCGCCCGCCTGGGCTCCAGGGCGCCTCCCGGACCCTGCTGGAAAGCCCTGTGATGCACGGACTCGGGGCGTGTGAGTGTGAGTGTGAGCACACAGATCCGCGCGCACACACGCGAAGGTGCACACACACACACACACACACACACTCACACACACACACGTGAGATGGCTGGAATAATTCTCCCAGCGTGATTCACATGTGTGCATACACTGCAAAGTTATTTGCAGGAAGCGGGGAGGGAGCGGGGGGGGGGCGGTGTTTCTTTAGAAAACTTGCCCGGGTATGGTTCCTTTGGTCTGGAGGAGTTTCCCTTCCGGTGATGCGGTCAGTGGCCCTCGCTGTCCCCCCAGATGATAAATGGTAAATTAAAAAATGAAAAGGGAAAAATCAAATTTAATTTGCGGTCGTTGAAGTTATAAATTCCTCTTACCCGTGTGAAGAGCATCTGTTGTATCCTTCATAAGCTTTCATGTTCATCTTTGCTTGGATTTTAAGGAAAAAATTTAATGATTTACAGAATAATGAGTTTTTAACACGCAGTAGAATTTTATGAACAAACCAATCAACTTTTTGATAACTTCGGAGTAACTCTATCGCAGGTACTGCCATAGGTGAGTTCAAATTCATCTCCAGCATAATGGTGTGAAATGTGTTAGATCTTGCCCCGGAGAATGTTTCGCTTTGGTTTTGACATTGCAATGTTCTGACATGTACCAGAAACCCGAAGTCCAGCGTCGTGTTTGTGTTTTCTGCGTTTGAAAACAAGGCAGAGGAAAACCTGGTCGGTCCTAGGGGCCTCTTTGACTTACTGCGGATGCTGGGTTTCCAGGCACATGACTTCCAGGAAACTAAGTAGCTCAGGGATTTTTCAAGGGTATTTTATTGTAAAAAGAAAAAAGCGAGTTACTTTCAGGTGGTTGACTTTGTTGCAAGCATAATCAATAGTGCCTGTAACTTGTCCCTTGGTGATTGCCATTTTTGTGTCTTAGTTAAATGCCAGAGCTCTCTTCAGACCCAAACCATCCGTCCCTTGTGGCAGGTGCCAAGCTGGTCTGAAGATTCTGATGATTCTCCCCTTGGGAGGAACCGGGGCTGGACAGTCACTGCTGAGTGCCTGGTCCGTGCTGGGCCACGTATGGCTGTGGATGTTTGTATTTTTCAGAGAAGCCCTGCTAGTAGATCCTACCTCCAGTTAACATTTGCGGAGACCGAGGTTTAGTTAATAAATTGGAAATGTCTGGAAACAGAACCAGGTGTTTATGATGTTGGCGTACCCGTGGGACCGATGCCACATGCTGTGCTAGTTCTGTTGCTTTGAACCGGTTTTCTGAAAGAGGAGTGCGGGTGGGCAGGGCCGGCAGTGCAGATAGAAGTGGACAGATTATTTACAGGGTGGATCCAGCTGGGTTTTCCTTATTGTCACCTTTTTACAAAAGAATGAACTTTAAGGAAGTGAGGATTTGGAGGGCGGCGGATGCTGGCCTTCGTTTCCCTTTTTGCTCTCAGGAGGGGCACACTCTGTCACCAGGAGAAGAGGAGGAAGAGGAAAGGCTGCTTTGCCTCTGCGTTCTTCTCAGGAGCGCCGGCTTAGCATCCTTCCTTGACGTAGGAATATCACTGATGGAAACGTTCAGAGTACCCAGCATCCCTGGGGCTGTCACTTTAGGTTAGATACTCTGATAGGTTTTCCACGTATTTTCTGCTCACCTAATACTGCAGTTAGCTCTGAAAGCTCTCACCATCCGTGACCATACAGTACTGGGGAAACGTTGACTTAGATTAAGTAACGTGCCCAAGGATCAGGGGTTACATAGTACTGTCAAAATTTTAACCCGGGACTATTAAACTTCCAAGAGTCTGCTTTTTTCCTGCTATTACAGGATGAAAATTCAATTTGCTCCTAAATCATTGCTCTTCTAAATAAATGTCTCAGAACTGTTTTCATCGTATTAGATATTTTAAACTATCTAATCTTTATGAATAATTTAGAAAAGTAGCCCTCCTCAGCATTATAGCCTATAGACTTGTGTCGTACTTGTGCAATTTATCTAAAAATTAAAAGCTGTATGTATTTTACATTGTGTCACTGTACACAGTGTTGAGCTGGTGGAGAATCTAACACACAGATATAGTCTACTGCTGTGACAAGAGCCGGGAGCTCTACTTGCTGTACCACCTCGAGCAATGTGCTTACCCTTGTGAAGCCTCTGTTCCCCCAGTGAAAGGACTGTGAATGTTAAGTTAGTTATAATATGTAACTGTCATTGTGGGCCCACAGTTGTACTCCACAAGAGTTCACCGTACCATTAACATTATTTATTTTATGTTACTCCTTGCAGCGCCGTGACTGGACCTGGGCCTTGCGCACATTAGGGAGGTGGCTTACTGCTGAGCTTAGCATTGTTATGAATAAAATAACTGTGCCGTGTCTCCTGAAGCTCTGTGCTCCAGATGCTGCACGGGGCAGAACAGAGGTTATAAAGGCAAGTGCAGGAGCCAATCGTGGTCACTGGTCCTGTGAAATTTGTAGCCTAATTTGGAAAGCTAGCCACACATGCCAAAGAACATAATATAACTAATCATAACAAAAGTTATATGTATGATATATGGATTTATATAATAGGACACATGTATCACAAAAGAAGTCTAACGGCCCACAGAAGGAAAAAGCCAGTTTCATTGGAGCAGTAAGGAAAGACTTCCTGGAGGAGCCGGTAGAATCTGAGGTTTGTAGTAAAGAAGAGATTGAAGTGACACACGAGTTAGGACATCCCAGGAACAGCTGTGTGAACAAGCTCATGAGGCAGAGACTGCAGACTGTGCTCTGGAGGCAGGTGCTGGTTCATCTTGAAGTTCTGTGTCCAGGGGAAGGAAGGGCTCGTGACTGAAGGCTCAGGGTAGAGCTGTCCTCGTGAGACCTGGAGCTGTGGGCTGAGTGTTCGTTAGGAAATGAGCAGGGATGCAGCTCCGTCACGCTGCAGAGCATTTTGGGGGCAAGAGTGTGGGAAGCTCTTCGACTGTCAGTGTGTCTACATATTATCATGTTAAATTCTGGACCCAATATTGTGTAATATAATTATGTTTTCAGAAAAAACAATTTGGGCTTCTTTTTATAGATGGTATGATTTATCAACTCTGAAAGCAGGTATTGTTTATTTTGATCTATGTAGCATTTGTTAAAGTGATGCATAGAGCATCCACAGAAATTGAATTCATGGTACTCAGTGTTCACTGGTTGAAAGAATTAGTGATAGCAATGGTTTATCCTCTCCAAATTTGGATTTGGTGACTATTCGAGTTACTGTTCTTTAGATCTCTAAGCAACACGAACGACTGGAAGAAGACAGAGTGACACTATCTGTTTTCATGGAGCCAGGGTCAAGGTAAAGAAAACTAGCACCTCTAAGCTGGCCCCTGAAACCAGGTAGGGTGGGTTTGAAGATTAAGGGACACTCCGGATTCTTCACCTCTGCACCCCCAGGAGGGTAAGACTCGGACTTCAGGGATGTGGGTGCGGCTGCCACCCTGAGGTTGGCGGCCTGCCCGGGCGCCATAGACATTGGTGATGACGGAGGGGCGTCTCATACACTGAGCTGTCCCCTTGATGTACATTTGCTGTCCCCCAAGCCTCATCTTGGATGTCCCCTCGTGTCCCCATTCCTGGAACTCATCTCTGTGGTGTGGTATAGCAGACAGAGTATAGACACGGGTGACAGACAAGTCTGGATTCTTACCCTGGTTGGGTTCAGTTTGCTAGTCAAACGAGCAAACTTGTGCCTTTGGCACAACCCTTCGTAAACTAGAGATAAATACACCTGTTGCTTAGTGTGTCAGTACATGTAGAAGTTAAGATCACAGATTCTGGACTCTGGCTCTGCTTGGGTTGAAAACCAGATCTGCCGTTTTCCAACAGTGAGAATTTCAGCCAGTTAGTCTCTCCATACCATGCTGTGCCTCATTTCTTCAACTGTCAAATGGGGGTAGTGAGGTGGTTTGAGTGTGCAGTGAGCTAACACAGTTCCGTATCAGAGTGTCCTCAGTCGTGTGCATGTCAGCTTCCATTATTCCTTCTAAGATTGGGGTGACCAGCCAAGACAACCTGTGTAAAGCTCCTAGCAAAAATATCTTTGCATTAGTGTATTCCAATACTGAAATATGTGTTAGAGGCAGACAGAAGCCATCTAGTTCAATCCTACCCTCACAAACTGGGGAGTCTGAATGGGAAGAAAAGTGAAACAAGAAATCAGTTTTCAGGGTCAAGTTAGTGATTCCCCTCTTTGATGAACCCCCACCCCCATGTCATCAAGTAAGGTAACCTGTTC